ATGGATGGATATAATACAGCCACGGAGGAGCTACCTGTGACTCACTTTAAGTCTCAGATCATCTGGATGAAAAAGAACAAAACCTTTACCTGAACCTTTGTCCCTGTTTATATGAGGTGTTATAAAATGTTGTGAAATGTCATAGTGCGCCGTACTGGAACTGTTGGATGCACCAGTGCAACCAGTGTATGGCGTTAATCTGGAGCCCTGATCTAAAACTTCCTCTATATGTTCACTAAACAAATAGGACTGCATTAATTTCTCATTGAGCTGTGAATCAGTTTCTAAGTGAGTTGTTGTCCTGCAGTAGACAACATAGTTAGCTATGCTAATGCTAACGCTAATACAAGGTGACCAGAAGCCTCTACTGCCTCTCTGTTTATTTTGTGCCGTTTAATCTGCTTTACATTGTTCCCTCTAGAGGAGTTCCCACACCACATGGGACAGTGACAGTAATCCCTTTGTAGTGTTTAGGGGCTGCATCAGGGTCTCTGGGCAGCACACGTTAACAGGTGCAGATCAACAGGTAAGTCGAGAGTTTTCCATTCAGGCTCAGTGCAGACAGCTCTCACATCACATCTCAGGAGGGGAGGAGAGAGATACCTGAGCACTGTATTCAAAAGAAGCCATTCACTGCTTTCAAGGAGCACTCTACACTTGCTGACTCTCATCACAGCTCCTCCAAACTACAGCTAAGTGCTAACAAGACCCAGAAGTGGACATCCTACGCGTTCAGGAATAAGAAAACACCCACAACTCCATCATGATGCATATTTGTCACAAGTGGTTGAACCTGGGTACCTGCTGTCTGAGTCTGTATTCCACTGATGACTGCTGGGATTTGTGTTGTTAGCGGCGTCTGCGTCACTGCAGGAATCTGTGGCGGGGGCACGGCGGTCGTTGCCACAGTTACCTCCATAGAGCCCAGCGGAGGCGACAGCACGTCACCGTACATGTACGGAGGAGTCGGAGGGTTTTCACCTTTCACTGTGATCTGAGAAAAGACAGTCGAGATTTGTGGCGTCATGTTGTGCTTTAATGGGTTGTGTTGCTGTCATCCAGTTCTTTAAATCTTTTAGTGACATGAATTATTCATTTGATCTCAATCTTAACTTGACATGTTTTTTTTTACAAAGAGGAACTAAATACGGCATTGCTAGGACAGAAAAAAGTAAGGCGCCTTTATTGATATGGTGCAAGATGCATACTGGTATCGACAAGGCCAATAAATAAATGCATCAAGAGGTAGACATATACGCATTTGAAACACACACCTGTGGGTCTGGTGATGATGCCGAACAGTCAGAGCCAAGTGAGGACGCCGGGGAGGGAGGCTCTGCTTTCACCTGGAACACTGGACACAAAATAAACACCAGTAAAAAAAAAAACTGCTTGAAAGGTACAAAACATGCATAACATGTATTTCAAGACACTCGACGTGAACTTACGCATTTCCACCGGTAACGGCTGTGTTATTGTCATTTCATTTTTTATCACTGGAGCGTCTCCTTCAAAGAAACACAAACAAGCAGAGAATCACAAGTTATTCAGCGCTAAATCTTCACCTAAACGTTTAACTTAAGGTTTGAATATTGGCAGATAGGTTCACCTATATACATGCACAAAAGTAATTCGACTTCAAGAATTTCACTACTTTCTGCAGGAGGAGAGGCCACCAAACCCCGAAACAGTATAACTACAGTAATGGTGCTGCAATCAACTTATCATATCACGTCAATATGGATTAAACACGTTGCTCTCTCTAATTAACTGTTAAACTGATTGATAATGAAATAAGTCATTAAAAACACACTTTTTTCACTCCTTGTCTGGGATTTTGACCATACGCGCTCCATGCAAGGACAAAAATGAAATAAAATACAATTTAGAAAACATAAATGGTAGGCCTTGTGGATGTAAGGATTGAAACTCTGGTAAAAACACCTGCAAACAGCACGTTTTGCACCAGCAGCTGAGGAGGCAGCAACGAGGACGAAGCGTCTCATGTTTCAGAGACGCGTGAAAACAAAACGCTGACTGAGGCGGTTTCAAGTTGCCGCCGGTGAGCTGTACCTGTGAGAAGGTTGTCGTCGAGGTGTTGCCATGGCGACGTGGGGTTGTCGGGATCGAGGGTGAGCACGAGGTCGTTGTCGAACTGCGAGAGGTTGAACAGAGAGAGAGACGGAGTGGAGGGAAAAGAGAGGAAGTGAGAAGGAAAATCGACTGCGGGATCAGTCAACCTGTGTGCGTTTGCACATCTGCTTCACTCAGCCAACCGACACAATCAGCCTGATTGTCCTCTGACCCATCACCTGTATCTGCTGCTGGTTAGAAAACCTGATTCACTCTGCTGCCAACACAGTGAGCATATAAGGAACAGGACTAATGTGGAAGGCGCACAAATTCTTTCAAGTCTAAAGCGGCTTAACTTTCGGTGTTCCACCTCTGGTCCAAGAACTGATACTTAAAACTTCTGAAAGCGCGATGCAGTGAACACAGATGCTGCACATACTGGACAACAACAGCAGCACGTGGAAGTGCAGCTGTGTGTCATTATTGTGCAGCAAGCTAATTATTCCAAATATATTACATTGTTTGTGTGAAAAGATGCGTTTTAATTCATGGTAGTAGATCAGCTTTCAGACCAAAAGAAATTTTAAATTATCTGGACGTAAATTATTTAATCATCCAGATTTTATACCACAAAAAACATTGAGGTAGTTCGCAACAAACAGAACTTTTTGCCAGTGTTTGTCTTTTTTCTGTGGTGAATGGAGTTTTGTGCAAGATATATGTCCTCTTTAAAATGTGTGTCCTTAACTTTAATTGTCTTGTTGCTGTGCACATTGAGGCCTTTCTGAGCTTTTAATCTGAAACAACTTCTTATTTCTGAGAGTGAATCAGAAACAGATTTCTTAGAAAACAGTTCTTTAGAAATTTAAGGACCAGACAGCTTACACAGAGCATAAACTCACTACAACACTTCACAACAATGGGAAAAATCACCTGATAATTCTCTCTACGTTCGTCCTCCATGACACCTTATTTCATGACGTCTTCACACTGTTTTCTGACACACGTTCATTGTAGTATATCAGTTAAAGCTTCCTCATTTTAAACCCTTATTCCTCTAGTGGAACTGAACTCTTTAACACTGTAAGATTTGCATCAGCTCTCTTCAGTTTGTGTTGGACTTTGCAGGGCACTTTGTGCTTTTTGTTATCTTCTCTTAATTCATTGAAGGGATTTCACTGCAATTTATCTTTAACTTGTTGAGTTATTTCCCAAAATGAATGTTAATGCTGAACCACAACCCTCTCCTGACTTTTTCTTGAAGTGGCTTAATGCAATCAAATAACACACACGATGAGAACTTCAGTTCATCCTATTTTTTTCATGACAGTGACAGAAATTGCAGGGCTGAAAATGTTCAGCTGTCACTGTAGCAGCAGTGCCAAAAGTGGAGTCCTGAAGTGTCAGTAACTGTCAGAATTATAGAGTGAACTTTCCTGCAGACTGTGTGAAAGTGTTTGCATGCCGAGTTTCAGTTTCACTCTGAGCTGAGAGCAGAGACTCTGTCTTTTGTATCCGTACCGATGCGTCGTATTTCAGCCCACGGCTGAAGTCTCCGTCCTCTCCCTCCTCCATACTCTCACACTGGTACAGGCAGGCATCTGCAGAAGACACAAGGATTAAACACGAGCAGTGAGCAGAGAAAAATAACAGGTCTGACAACAGAACAACGTCAAACTGCGACAGGTTTTCGAGACAGCAACAGCAGCTGAACAAAAACAGGATTCAATTTGCATCCCTGAAATGCAAATCAGCTGTAGATCAAGTTTCAGTGGTGACTTAAAACATCTCGCTTTCTGTGCATCTCAATTAGAACAAACCAGCGTCAAACTGAAATAAACAGATGGACATTTTTTACAGGGAAATCACAAGCACTACTTGCAGTCAAATGACAATTTTCGTTATTCACAACTGAGCCTCCTAAATTCTTGTTCAGTTGCAGGTCATACAAGAGTTCAAACCCCAATAATATTACATTACACAGCACAAAGAAATGCTGTACATCTTTCACAGTGTCGAAGCTGAAACTGAGAATTGATGGAAATTGAATAATATTCACGGAAACATGATATGTTCAGTGTAGAAAATCAATCAGCAACTATTTTAATAACTGACTATTAACTTATGTAACTTTTCAGTACAAAGAATTTGGCAAACCTTTAGGTTCTGAATTAGGAGACTTTTTTTTGGCTTTTTCTTATTCCACAGGTGTAAACTGAGTTTCTTTTGGTGCTGGAGATGAAGTAAAAACATCCCCTCAAGCTCCAGTGAGCTGTGATGGATTTTCAGTCCTTTAATGCTTTAGAGACCAAACGATTAATCAGGAAATTAAAGAGCAGATTTTCAGCTGATTTAATTTGGGCTGTGATATTTTCAGGCTTCACTTAGAGACCCAGGTGACCTGAATAGATGGGACAATTTCCAGATAAAAAGGGCTGCAACTCCTAATGATCGGTTTTGCTTTTTGAGAAGCAATGACTTGCTAAGTTGATCAAATGTTAGAAAATGAGGAAACATGTCTCTCACAGGTTTTCTGTTGATGGATGAAATGACTGATTGGGTGATTGGTGCTGTACTAATCACAAATGCTTTCACAGTAAAACATCCCACTGACATGGAGGTAGTGATGAGTTCTGACAGCTCCAGTTTGGGAAGAATAGAAAAGCTGTGGTTTGTCAACTAACTGAACTACAAACATCAGCAACAAAACAAAAGACTGATGATATGAAAACTCAGCGCTGTTACCAAACATGATGGACGGCGTAAATATTCAGACGTCTGTTAAATAACTGCAAAATGCTATATTTGCAACAGGATAGTTCTTTTAAAATATATTCAGCCATTCAACATGTTCAGGTAACTGCATCGCGTCGACAAAACATTAAGAGATGTATTTAACTGATTATAAAGTACAATGAACACTATCGATTGTGTTGTTTATCTTTTGCAGCTGCACAACCAACCCTAAAGGACAAAATGTCATCGAACCAGTATCAACAACTTATAAATGTACATAGATGTTAGTAAAATATGTCCAATCTTATCCAGCATCATCATGTCGCCTTAACACATGCTAAACTCAGGCTGCCGATGGTGTGAACTCATTAATTTATTTCCAGGAAGTGAACAGGGTGGTTTGTGCCATTACTTCTCCCATGATGCACTGCGCATTTTGATGAGCAACACGGCTCTGGACTTTGAAACTGAAACAAACACTGGAGCATTTTATTGCGTGCGGTCGTAGAGAGTCTGGGTTTCATGTCATTTTTATCAGCCAAAATTCACTCTGTGCATATTTTCACATTTTATAAATCCTACACACCAGTGAGCACATCATTCTGATATAAATACATTAAAGTAATAATAAGACCATCCTTGTTTACATCCTAAAACCAAATAACCAAACCTTTAACAGGTGATTAAAAAGATAGTAATCAGGATTGTTTCTTTTTTTAAACAAAAACAAGCAAGTATTTGACAGTCTGAGGCTCTAAAATAAGAGAATTTGCTGTTTTGAACCTAAAAATGTTTAGATTCTGCATTGTTATGTAGACATAAACATGTGATCTGAGACATTGAAATTAATAGTTTCCACTGTTTTCCGACAAAACATGAGCCAAATAATTTAACTAAATAAAGTAATCATAGCAGCACCTCTGCAATTAAGTACAAATGTCAAACAAAATCCAATCTTTGTATTGTATAAGAACCATAAGTGCCAAATAAAAACACCTTTCAGCGTGAAACAAATCTTCTAGAGCTGGATGTTTCTAATTAAAAACAGTGTTAAAAAGCTCTTCTGTGTGTTTCTAATCGTTTCTTCTATTGCTGCGGACAATCAGAAAATAGTTAGAATCTGCTGACTGACGTATAAAGAGAGAACAAGAGCAGCCTTTCAATTAAAAGTTCTAGAAAAGTAAAAGCTAACTTGTTTAATGGTTTATACCAACCATTTTTACTGCTTTATTTTGTTGTAAACTCCACTCTGTATCAGCTCTCGCCACTGACCCACTTCTCTCATGGTGATCATTAAAGTTTTATCTAATCTAATCGAGTTTATTGCCTGACGGCAGGAGACCAGCAGCAGGGTGGGGAAAATGCTAAATCTCTTTAATCTCTCTGTTTGCCGCTCAAATTTACTGAAAATTTTAAAGGAGTGCTGAATGGTAAACCCTGCAACATTTAACTGGTTGTTTCTCACATGACAACAATCACAAAGCTTTCAATTATTGCATGCTTTAGTCTCAAACCAACAATAATTATTGATCAACTTTAATGCTGCATAGCTTGAATTAATCATTTATTGTCCAGGATCATGAGCATTTTGTAATTGACAGACACCAGCTTCTCCTCATTTTTAAAGATAGATTTTTTCCTACATAGATGAGTTTTTGACACCTGAATGACTGAAATAATAAATTGGATTAAAAAAAACAAAACAACTTTTGTTACTTGGAGTCTTAAGCAAAAAGCTTCTCGCTGGGATCGACCGCTCATATGTGTCCTGAGATCTAAGATTATTATCAGAAGACAAAGTGTTGCTTTGTCAATAAAATGTCTGGAAATTGTAAAATAACTTATAATAAGAATAAAGGTATTCAGGTTACTGTCATGTAGAGGGAAATAACCCTGAAAATATTCAGTTTTAGGAAGCTATAAGCAGAGAAATTACACTTTTTTTCCCTTTAAAAATGACTCAAACCTAATAATCAACTATCAAAACAGTTGTGAATGAATTTAATCAGCCACTCAACTAATTTACAAGTTAACATGCTCAAATTGCTTAATTTCGTCTGAGTCGCAGTCAAAAACTGACAATCTGGGATACAATAATAAACAAAATGGAGAGATTAACAAATATCAAGATTTGAGGCTGGTATGAAGAGAAAATGGGCATTTTTTTAAATGCACACATCATTAATATTTGTTTAATTGTAGCCATGTGTAGTCCTGTACATCTGTACAATAACAAGCTCCCTATCTCTGACAAATAATACTAAAAAAAAAAAAAAAATGCTGCAAAAAAAACTTTACTGGTGTGTGTATCCACCCAGGAAAAAAGGGCGGACCAGGGAATTTTTTTATTGATTTAAAAAAAAAAATCATTCAAAGTGTTGCTCCATAGCTTTGACAAGTAAATAAATAATGCCTGACTTGTGATTTGTGCTTCACAGAAATTCCAAAAACAAAAACACAGAGGTGCTTCATGGAGCCTGATCTGTTTCATTCACATCTGTTCCTTCTTCTTGTGATTCAGTTTGTGGTCACATACATTAAAAATGAATTAGCTGTAAAGTGCTGCTTGGTTCCTGGATGACAGGATGTTTACTGGGGGGGTTCAAAAAAATAACTATCACACCAGCTACAAACCATGTTTCACTAAGGGAACCATGACATGAGTTTTAAGTGAACATATGTCAACACAAGCCCTTAAAATGAGGGTTTTTCACAGAGAGAGAAGCAGCCACGCGGTTGTATTAATGTGTAATCACGTTTCCACCCGCCGTGTTAAAGATAAACCGGCATGTCCGGGTCTGCTGACCGAGGAAGCACATTAACACTGTGACCTCATGCAGCTCGCATCTCACACATAATTAAACACGAAATAAAAAATATACAAATACAAATAAACAAATAAAACCCCAAATAAACGATGTTAAGTGCATTTTTTTAGCCATTACAGGCAGAAAAATAACCGCTAAAGACGCCCCTCGCCTCGGCTCGGCTCATCCCCACGCCCGCTGTCGCACCAGGCTAGCTCTGCGTCGCTAAATACGCGTTTGTTGTCGCTAATAAACGCTTTAAACGTGAACTCACCCCAGTCTTCGCTGGTCAGGAGGTTATCAGCGAAGAAGCGGCTGTCCAAATCAGAGAGGAGATCCGTGCTCATCGCCACAAAGGCGGTGCGTTTGGAGAGCAGGAGGCTGCGACGAGATAACTGCTAGCGAGGCAAACACAGAAAAACACCGCCTCTGGCTTCCGCATCAAGGTAGCTGAGGAAGATTAGGATCCGAAATCATTTATAATTCAACCTGAAGGGGGATTTCCTTTGTGGCGGCGTGATATTTATATTCTGTTCGTGTCTCTAGTCAGGCTGCGGGTCCTTCCCTTTCCTTCGCTTTCGCATATGACAGACGAGGAAACGCGTTTTTTTTTCAGTAAGTTGCCGCCCACTCCTGGCAGAGCAGCCAATAACCACGAAGATACGTGTGATTGACGACACACATACCCAATAGGATCGTTCGGAGAGTGCTATTGGGGAAGTAAGGACCATATTGCGGAGGGGACAGGGTTTTAAAGGTGATTTGGACCAATCGAACGGCTGCGTTTTGATTGACAGGCCAAAGTACCCAATAACCGCAAAGGGTTTTTGAAATTGACAGGTACTTGAGCCAATCATTGGTTACCAGAGCAAAAAAAAAATAGTTTTGTGAAAATCACGTTGATTCAAGCATTGGATATTACAAACACCGTGTTATTTATGCCTGTAGGCGAATCTGAAAGAAACTCCTTTACACAAACAAACAAACCAATGCTCTAAGTTATTAAGGTAGACTCTTCTGCTGCCGGGGCTGTTATTTCTAATGTTATTTTTGGTGGGGTGGAGAGTGGGAGTCATTACATAACAGCGGAGGGGTGAATGAGGACAAACTGAAACACTGCCAGCAGCCTGCACCTCGAAAGGAGCTGCTCTCTAAATCAATTAAAGTTCCCCTGAGGATGAGGCAGGTGCTGTGCACTGCAGAGTGAATGTTTAACCAGGTGATGAGAGAGAGAGAGAGCTGCAGCAGGTTTGTGGTCCTGTTGTTTATTTGGAGGAAGAGCAGAGCGCCATCTACTGAGTAAATGGCTGTTTGAAGCTGCACAGATGCAGTTACACGATGAACCAAGTACATCTAAGTTCCAAATTCATCTGCTCAGCCTTCTTGTTGGTTTAAAAGTTATCCCACATATATAGTAGCACCCTCAAAAGTGGGATTAGGGATGCATACAGCTGTTAAATTCCACTCCTGTCTTTAAAAAAAAAAAAAAGGAAAAAAGTCAGGCTTGCAAGAAGCTTGACTGAAACAAGACAAACAGAAGCACCAGTGACATACACCATACAGACATGACTGTCAACAGAACCAAAGTCACACCAAGAAAGTCTAAGAGTAAGTTTAAACAGATTATAATACTAAAACATTAAATTAATCAAACACTGATCATAAAGTCAAAGAGAAAAGCAGTACTTTAAATTCAAAACTACAGACAAACAAAGCAGGTGAATGTGAAACCTAAAACACTACATAGAGTCTTGCATGTGCTGCATTCAGGGCAAAGAATTATTTTTTGCTAATCAGAGGTACCCCTGTTTGGGGCAAAAAAATATTGTTTAATTACATCAAGGCTATTCCCAATATAATGCTATAGTCTGTGTTACTACTTCATATATTTATCATCAGAAAAAAGGGGAAAAGAAATTAAAATCTGTTCATAATTAATTGAGATCATGCTGATTTTGTACTCAAAAAAGGGCCTTTTTTATATATGTGTATATTTTTTTTACCTTTACAGAGTTCATTACTCAGGAGTTTCCATAGCAGGGTATGTTACAAAAACACACTCAAAATCCAGTCAAATTAGACTATTAACGCATATGAAGTGTTGAATTCTTCCAAATATCAGTCCATATGATGCTCACCCCCTCAAAATTTCCAAAAATGTGCGTTTGTCATAGATGTAAGTGGAAGCACAAAACAGTAAAATTGATGAATATTTTTTTCTTAAATACCTATAGATACTTAAATAGATGATACGTCTTATATTTAAAATGAATACAGTGCAAACAGTGTGTAAATATACTTACTGCTGGTGTTTGTTTTTGAGGTGAGAAAGAACATTCAAATGACCTGAGCTGTGGCATGTGGCGACCCAATGTGTTGTGCACCTGCTCACAGTGCAGTAACTACGCTTGTGTTGTTTGGCCACAACAACCCAATCCTTCGTCTCCAGCTACCCACAAGTTCAATGTTCAGTAAGTGTCCTGTGAGAACACAGGATGTGCTGCATTCGAGCGGCTTAAGGTCCGAGCTATTTAAAATAAATAAACAAAAATTGCCCTGTATGTTTGACCTTTTCCTCAGAAGGATGGAAAAAGCACCAACAGCAACAACAACTGCACCTACACTGGAAAACACATGTCTGACCACCAACAAAGTCATGTCAAGAAGGAATATTATACAAAACAAGAACAAAGATGCATCATGTTCTGTATATGCAAGTAGTGTTTTCACAGTATGTTAGTGGGCAATATTATTGTGTTTTGTACCAGGACTGATTATCAGATATCTCGCTGATTTTTAATGTCTCCCTGCCTTCCAACTTCTGCTCAGCCGTAGAAAATGAAGAAACAAACAACCGCTGGAACTGCACAAAACAACTGTGTTAGCTAGTGATCACTTTGAAGGCTGTAGCTTGAAGGGTAAGCTGCTTTCCTGTTTTAAAAACTGCCATATCTGACCACAGAGTTCCTGTTCTCAAGCCACAATGAAAGCTAAAGTCAGATGTTATTCTGAATCATCTCAGTCTGTGTGAGGATGAGGGTGAATCTCTACAGCTGCCTGTTAGCCTTTGTTCTGGGCTCTAATGTCACTGCAGGTAAGAACCTTTCACACTTATACAAATTATTATTCCTAACCATTTCCTGTTTCATAAAATGAAAAAAAAAGTGGGGATTGAAGTCCAATACCTGACTTGAATGAAGTCGAAGCTGAAGTGGTTCCTCTTAATAATACTTGAGCTCCTCTGGAAGATTAATTTGTGATTTTGTGGGAGTCTTTTAAACAATGATAGCTTGCTTCTGTTGTTTTCTAATTTTTAGCATCTTTATTGTCACAGATCATGAGGTCACATCATCGCTTACTGACTTTAAGTTTTCACCAACATGTGTGCTGTTTGAGCTATCACCACGGACGCGTGGCAGCACAAAAAGACATAAAACTCAAAATATTTTCACTGTGGAAGATAGTTTCTGTTTTCTTATTAATATTTTTCTAAACAGGAAAAACAAGAGACTGACAACAGATGAATTCATTACCTTATAAAGGTTGCATCGTTTATTTCTTACCATGAAAAAATGAAAAAGCAATTACAGAAAATATGTAGGTTATTAAAATATCTTACACAAAAAACTTCAAGTCTGTCAGTGGTGTAAAAACACCAACAAATAAGAGCATATTCATCGTCGTTCAAATGGTGACTTTTTGTGTTTTACAGGTTTAATCCGTGAAGTAGTTGCAGAGAAGCAGATGGTCATTCTGCAATGTCATCGCTCTGTACAGGGAAGAGTGATGTGGAGCAGAGAGAGCAAAGGAGTTAGAGTTAATATACTTACAGCTCATGGTGAATGGAGCACAAAGCATATTAATGATCCGCTTAAACATTACAGTTCATTTGCAGATAAGTCACTGTTCATTATCAGAGCGTCTGTCTCAGACTCAGGACGATACTTCTGTAATGATGAACCAGCTGCGGAGTTGACAGTGATCCCATCAGGTAACATCTGACTTTATCAAATCTCCACTTAGCATTTGTAAGTTTTCATTCTGTTCATGAAATGTTATGTTTCAAATGTAAAAGTCAAAATGTAAACCGTGTTGCATCAAATCCTATCTGCTTTAAGCTGTATTTGAGCATTTCTCTTGGTTCAGTGCTGATGTTTGAAAGGTCTTACTGAGTTAAATGCTCAGATTAAGGAGAGTAATGATGAATTGCTAGTTGAATAATTCCTGTAAATCATTGAATCAATTAAAAACATTCACTGGTAAGCCAAAGTGATGTGAATATGCATGTACATTGTATAGTCTTAGTGAAATAACATAACGTATGCCTCATTTCATCTCATCAAAAAAAAAAAAAAATCCAACTGACTGAATGATTATTATTGTTGTATATAATATATGTTATATTGATTTTAAAAAATGTAATCATTATTACAAATACATTTTTTAAAAAAAAAAGTGAGCTTTTATAAAATTGAATTTCCCTTCTGGGATAAATAAAGTATTTTTCATTTCATTCATTCATTTCATTTCCTCTAGAACCATTGCAACTCACTAGACAGTAAAATCATACAGCTCTTTTTGCCCATGACAAAAGAAACATTTGAAGTGTTCATTTACAAAAACAGATAACTCAACTCTTGTAGGTTTTCAAAAAACGTATTTTTCTGTTGTTTGTTTGAGATAATATCAGTCAATCTGAAGTTGAGTAGATTTGACTCAGTAGCAATAACATGACAAAAATAGAGATAACTTAAGTTTGACTGATATTGTATCAGGTAGACGATGGAAAAGTGAGTTTTCTGAAGGTTTGTGCAGATGGAGTTATCTGTTCTTGCAAATGAGCTCTTCATATAGAAACAAACAGAAGCCTGGCATACTTTCCCCCCCTCAGCACGCTGTGTGTGGTTAATGAGTGGCTCTAACTTCTGAGAGGTGTGTGCAGAGTCAGACGCACGCACAGGATGCAAATACCACTGCAAAACCTACTCACTGGACCGTCAGTTGTTGAAGTCCTCCCACAGGTTTTCGTTTCTACAGTAGCAGTGCTAGAGCTTAGCTACAGGGCACACTTGCACATGAAGCCTTATCAACCACCAAACCACCAGGTGGAGACAGAACTCTGACCCAGCTGAGTCCTTCATAAAGTTTAAGCTTATCTGAGCCTGCAGGCAGGAACTGGACTGATGTTGAAACAAAGATGACAAGGAGGGAGTTGATGCAGGACATTAACCTTAAAATACAGGTTGAGAGTTGACCTTACATATGTCTCAAGGCTGTATCGATAACATTTATGTGTAAAAAGAAAAAAACAAAACCCTCTGTGTTCATTTTTTTTAAAGATAAGTTCTCCAATGAATTAAACTTCATTTTCTG